TGCTCTGGGACTTACGCAGAATGCCACATGCTATAGCAAAATTCAGCCAGCCAGATGGTTACATGATTTCTCTTGTGACTGCTGCTGAGCTGGAGGCCAGCCCCTGTGAATTTCAGATATTACACCACACTTCACTGGCTGAAACTGCGTCAGAATCCAGTTGAAATTTGCAGTCACAACTTGGTAGCTGAGAGCATGGGTCCTGTTGGCAGCCATATAATTTCTTTTCCAGCAATCCTGTTGTTGGCTTTAGTTTTTGATCTGCCATGTCACCTCTGTTTCCTCTTGAATCACTGCCGTACTGTGTTGCCAGCAAACATTTGCAAGGTTTTCAGGACAGCCTGAGCTGTAGCTATATAGGTAGGATGGAGGCTGGGATTCACATCCCACAGGAATGTTCCCAGCCATGGGATCTGGCACCCTGGCTTCCCTAACATGAGAATGCCACTGCTTGGCTGGGCTGGCTGAGCATCTGTAATCACGGTGGCCTTGCTACGTCCTGGGTTAGCCACACTAAAGAGCTGCTGTCATACTCTAGGCATAGAACTGTGCTGCACTGGGATTCAGCTAAGACTCCTGGACAGCTGTGTGGCATCCAACTCATTGCCACTTTCTTAAGCTGCTTAAAATAACGGTAGAAATAAGCTTATTATTATTACCAGGTTTCAAGCAAAGGAATTCTGACTGACAGAGTCCTAGAAGTTTGCATTGATGTGGTTCTTACCGATTTAGGTATAGTCAAACTTTTTGGGGCTGAAAACTTGCAATTTCAGGGTGAGATAACAGGACTTCTGGGGACATCCCAGCCATTGGTTAGTAGTAGGCTGCAAGACATTTTCTGTTGCCGTTCTTTTTCTGAACCCCATACTTGCTTAAATATCTGAAAGAAAATAGAAAAGATGGAAAGCCCCTACATTCTGCTATTCCTGTTTGTTTTCCTGGTAAATGAGAAAATACTCAATGAAGCAACAGAGGCAGCCTGTGACAATAGCAGATTGGATTGTTTATGATGAGATTTTGGTTTGCTTTAGTTTTCTGGCTTGGGGTTTGCTGTTTTTTAAAGATGTGTTCATACGTTTGTTATTGGGAACTGTGATGTGGTTGCTTTCTACCCATAGAGCTTTACGTAGAATCACAGTATCATACAATAGTATGGGTTGGGAAGGACCTTCAAAGGTCATCTAGTCCAACTCCCCTGCAATGAGCAGGGGTATCTTCAACTAGATCAGGTTGCCCAGAACCACGTCCAATGTGAAGTTTGTGGACTACTGCAGGGTTCATGCATGTCTGTGTGACGTCTAATGTGAGTCAGTAAAGGAGAACAGTGAATAGAGATGCAGGCTAAATAAATTGAAAAACAATGGGGGAAGTGGCTAAGCTGGAGGTATGGAGCACAACATTGGCAGCAGGAAAGTGGCTTCAGGTTTTTAAATGCAGTGACCCATGGCATGTTTGAGAAGCACGTTCCTCATGTAAAAGCATGTCTGGCTTGTTGGTCTAGCAACCTTGGTAGATCAGCCCACTTGTTTTTGCAAATACACATTTATAATTTGGTTTTAAGTATAATTTCAGGCATTATTGTCGAAGTTTAACAACTTCTGCTGTGTGAAAGTCTCCCCAGCTACCTCATTTCTATGTGTCTTTGAGGGGGACAATAATACACCTTTTCTTACTCCCAGATTTTCTTGGGGCTCTGCTTGCACTGGTTCTCAAGATCACCTCATCTATTTTCCCATCAGAAGAAGGGCTACTATGTGCCCTGTACAGCCTCTGACTGATGAAGTGCACGTTTCTTTCTGGAATTTTAACTGAACCACCTTAAATACAAAATCGGTGTTAAATTTGTATTAAAAAGATAAGTAGCATTAATACGGGTGGAGAACTAAGTAGATTGGGTTATCACTTTTAGAGAGACAAGAAGCACAGAACACACTGCAGCCTAACAGAGGTATCCGGTCACAATATGCAGAACTCTCAATCACGATGGAACATTGTGGTTTGGGATTTGTTTTCTCTGAGCCTTTATTAAAAATAGAGGCAGTGATGAGACTATTTTACAGCTCTACTATGGGAATTCACTGCACAGGTATTGTATTTTCTGAACTCATGTTCTAGGAGAATAAAATAATGGCAACAACAAATTCTCTGTAGAATTACATGTTTTTACCTGCTATTCATTTCAGTATTTGTGGAACTTACTTTTACCCCGCTTCAGCTTACTCTGTTTCAGAAAGCTCATATGCTGGTATAAACACCTGCACATTCCACCTAATGGTGTCACTATCTATGGAAAAGGAGAGGGAAAATAAAGCTCAGAAAGCTGTTTTTCAAAGATAAATGACTGCCAGAGCAGATGCATTTATACATATAGAAATATGTATCTGTGTATACACATGGAAAAAAAAAAGGAAGAGAATATGCATCTGAAATAACTTCAGTACCTTATACTTTTTTCTTATGGTAAGATAAATATAAATCTGTGTCTCCTTTCCATTGAAAGATGCTTCTGATTTCTAACTACAGAGAGTTGACAGTTCAGGCAGGTGAGTCCATCTGATGGTGACTGGCTTCTGGACAAAATCCAAGGAAACAAGATAAGAACACTTCTGAACCACACTACTACAAAGGCAGTACAGAGGTAAAAAATGAAGATTCCATGCCTGAGAAACTCCAATTGAAAACCTAAGCCTAAACAATTCTCCTTCACAGGGATCAGAGCCTCATAATATAGTCCCGGCTTAAATCTAGGTCAGCTGGATTTGTTGGATATTTATAGGTAGACATGGTATATTAATAATATGGTTGTTTATCAAGCTATTTGCCTTAGGATGTAAAACAGAACATTTGTTTACATAACACCAGAAGCATTTCTGGGGAGAAAAACTCCTCTAAGAAACACCCTATGTAAGGGATTACATAGTTGCATGGAAAAATATGTTGTTTTGTACAGATGATTTGTTTTAACTGAATTCCCTCTTTGATACAGTAAGCAGAGGTTAAAGCCATCATAAGTGGTGTAGTACACTGATTTCCTGTATTACATGGGAGTTTTATTTAAGTAAAGAGTTCAAGCTCTACTGCTGCTTAATAGCTCATCATCCAACCACAGAACCAGCTCCACACAAATCTCCCTAGAGGCGATCGGCAGACCAGTGCCTTACCTGTGTTGGCATGATTTTAACTGCTTCAAAGGAGGCTCCTTGACAGGTTGGTAGATGTGCAGATTCTCTACTAATAAAGCCCAACCAAAACCACCAACCAGGCTGCTATTGACCCAGTCAGGCTATAGTCCCACATTCTTTTTTCTGCTAGCACCTAAACATCTATCAGGTAATTACTGGACTGAAACTGGGCAGTTTTTTTTGCAGGGTTTTTGTTTCAAGTTCTTTTTTCTTTTTTTTTTTTTCCTAGATTGTCATCTTTTTTTTTTTTTTTCCCCTGTGTAGCAGTGATAGGATTACAGAGAAGCATTAATCCATACATTTATGCACACCTTTTACCCAAAGGCAATTCCAGAGGAAGCCACTACACCTTGCAGGGGCATCATTCATGTCTGTATACAGAAGAGTAGTGTGTCTACAACTGCAAAAGAGACCCATTGTTTATGCATAGCAGGCAGTGTAACAAGTGATCTGCTCTCAGGGAGCACAAGGTTTCAGAGATTGCTGAGTCATCCTCTCTTCATTAGCACTGTAGATAGTCAGAAAAGCTTATCATTACTAGCATAAAGAAAAGACTATTGCCAGCTTAGGTGGCATGCTTTTCCTTTGATGGAGTGGCTACAGCAATTCCAATGGTTGATAACATCCCTCCCCCACACACACTGCACAGCAATTTGAGGCCAAAGGCAGGACCAAAAACACAGGCTAAAATTCCAGAATGATCTAATGAGCAGGCTGCTGCCTCTTGCTTTTTGAAAATGAGTTCTGTCGATTTTTAAAACGTTTTCTACAAAAGCAGCAGGACAGTTAAACCCCAGGACATTAACGTGATGGTTAGAAACCATCTCCCTATACAGGTTTCTATTCAGTTTGATAAAATGGTAAAAGATATGGGGAACTGATTAAAGAAAATACTGAGCTGTCTACATACCTCATAGGATTTACTGTGATTTTACTGCAAAGGAACATAGCTACCTTGTGTGTTACATCTAGAAACCTGAAAAGGTGTATTTCGTATCTCTTGCCAAGTGCACGATTTACTTTCTAGACTGTAACATGGTTGTAGGTTATTAAGGACTGAATCTCTGCATTCAGTTGGTGCAATACGATTTCAACTCAGGTTAGCAAAAAAATGATAATTGCTACGTGGATACAAATTAGAGTTTAATATCCCATGCAGTTGTTTACATCTGCTTAATTAAGCAGCAGTGACTTCACATCAGCATTGCTAGATACCATAAATACACGCTAGAGAAAAAGGTACAATCATGTTATCCACCCTTTTAATGTCAAATCAAAGCAAGTCAAGTACTTTCTATTTCAATGGTTTGTTTAATGATAAAAAAGTCTTCATGTTTAAGGAGAATCTTCAGGTCTGATACATTTGGGTTCGGTACAAGTGCCAGGACTTTATAAAAGGCTGTGCTGCTTTAGGCAGACAGCTTAATCACTAAATGAAGAGCTTTAATGGAAACCACTAACAAATATAGTTGGAAGTTGGTGGGTAATTTTGCTTTTGGAGGCTTTACAATAGTATCGCAGTCATTTTGTACAGTAATAGCAGGTAAGTAAATACCCATCTAGAAAAATGCAGTGTTGTATTAACACTGACAAAGTTCTAACACTGCCTGTGTGGCACAAGCTCTTTGTTTCCTGTATTCACCAACAGCTCTGGCACAGAGCTGCCTGGCTCGCATTCGGATTAAGAATCCCCTAAGAAAAGGCAGACGTGCCTAAATTGGGATTTTGAGAGGTACATACAATCTGGACAGGCCTTGCATTAACACAACGTATCAGTGTACTATCAAAGTCTGTTAACCATCAGCATCAGAACACAACCTCAGTTGGTGTCATTTTTAATGATTAGAAATAATACATTGTAAAACAAAAAGTGAAAAAATTCCAGCATGACTCTCATAAACAAAGAACAAACAGAAAACAAAAAAGCTTCAGTTTTGCCTGATTTATAGTATTTATAATATAACAGATCATTAGTCTGAGGTAATACCAGTGATAACTTTTTAGTCTTTTAAGGACTGCTCAAAAATTAAGAACAGTAAGAGCAATGCATGTCATGTTAAAAACGAGACTTGATTATTAAATCAAGCAAATCCCTTTCCCTTTCTAGTTAGGGATCTGTGGTTGCAAGTATAAAACTGGACAGAAGTCTACACAGTAGGAACTACAGAATGTTCTCCTGTGTGGCCCGTCCTTAGCCCCTGTCATCAATTGAAGAGTACAGTTGCTTATCTAAAAATCAGACATTTCAACAGAGAAAAGACGCTGTCTCAGAATAGCCCTTAAGAAATTTAGAATACTGATAGTTTGCATAAAATAGCCAAATAAAAGATGAATTCAAGTCCAAATTTTGGCATGAGGTAAAACCATGTGCATTTATTTCATCTGCATTTTAGAATTAATAAGCATCAAGTTAAATATGCCGACTGTAATGAATTCAGTCATACAAGTGCAAGTCTTCAGCTAGGATGTATTTTATGGCAGTTTATTTAAAAAATGTACCAGTAAATCATAAAAGAGGGATCATGTCCATTTAACATTTATTGAAGTATACAGGAGGTTTTCTTTAGGATCAAAGATGAGCATGACTATATGGCCAAACGTAAAATCTATCAAATTCAGTGAAAATTGTCTGACTTTAAATAGTAGCTGTAAGAATGACCAATATATATTCTTTGTTACAACCGCCCTCACTCTACAAGTAAAAAAAAAAATAAACATTCAGTAAACATTCTTTCCTAAGGTAGTTTCCCTTATATAGCAGTGATTTATCCATTTCTTGTATACATCACTTTTTAAACATACCAATCAGTGGTTCTCACAATTGAAAAATAAAAGCACAAAAAAGTTTACACTCTTGTACAGGTAAATAAAAGATCATCTTGAGTTCAACTGTATATCCTTAAGGGCATAGTATAGTTTCAATTTCATTACCTATTACATAATTAGCTTCTTACATACAAATATTGACATATTTGGCTTGTGCTTCAAAGCCTTTGTGTCTAGAAAGTCCATGTCAATGCAACTCATAACTTGAAATCAGTGGGGATGTCTTTGCTGCTGCTGGGTTTAACCTGTTCGTGCAACGCAGTCTCTTCCGAGCTTGTGGCACCGCATTTTTCTGTGGGGTCATCGGCGTCGGGATCCAATCCTTCAGGACAGGGAAGCTTCAGAAGTTCTTCCCGCAACTGGGCTGTATGGCGCTGAATGAACAAAAAGCAGTTGGTGTGGAAGGTCGTAGTTGAAACAACACTTTTCACAACAGTGGATAATGTGAGCAAAACCAAAAAAGGAGTAAGTACAAGAGGTGTAAATGTACTGTTTCAAGGACCGGCTAAATTTTCCCCTGGTGTTTAAGGGCTGTTACTGGCCTTGTAGGGACAGAATAAAGCAAGTGCTGCTAGGGATAAATTAAAGAACAGAACTGCAGCAGACAAATGCATCAATATAAATGTTATGCTCCTTGTCTTGCAGTTTAGTCCTGTCTGTCTTCTGTGCTCACGGCAGAAACTGGTTTAGACTACTGAGGTCACACAGACAAAATGGACCTTTCTAAGGAGTTGATGATGAGATCTGTTACAGAAACAGAGAGGTTTGTATTCTGATCCTAGGAACTACCTGTAACCTCATTTTGAAGACCAAGAATTTTGAAAACAAACAAGTCTGGCAATAGAAAAAAGAAGCCTTCAAAAAGTTTTTGTTTTTCTCCTCGGGAAGGAAAAAAGAAAAGGAAAACCAAAGAAATCGAGGTGTGTTGTCTGTATGACACAATATACACAAATGCCGGTGCTTGGCTAGGAAAGGAGAAAACATTTATAATGGTTGTAACTGTTGGTAAAAATTAATACAGGGTAAAACTAAAAGTAATGGACTACAGTTTAATAACTGCTTGTCTGTTCAAAAAGCTTATTTGCTGTTGGCTGTAGTACAACAGTACCACTTCATCATAAACCAACACCCACCCTTAGAGAGAACAAAATAAACTCTCTATATCTTACACAAGTATTCACATTAAAACAGGCAGGACAGGGACCAAAGGAAAATCTAACTGGTAGAAAAAACTAGTGAGAAAGTGGAGTGCACAGACATGAGCTCTTGACAACAGGGAAAAACAGGTGTGTTTGCATGCTTTAAAGTTGCTAGAGTTTTCTGTTAGTGTTCTCAACAAACTCAGCTGCTGAACAATTTTATTGCCATTTGTCATCTTTGGATTAAAGAACATACAATTACAAAAACGAGTCTCACCTTCAGAGCTGCAGCATGATGGGACATAGTCCTGCCTACCCGTTTGTCGCTGCTGTACTGCTGTATGTCTGCTATCCACTCCTCACACTGAGCCATGATCTCCACTCTTTTCAAGTAAAAATGTTTGTGGATGACCTGCAAGAACACATTCTGAATGAAAGAACAGTTTGCATTGCTTGTTAAGAACCACGTACTTCAACAACAGAAAATCTGCAAGACCTCTGATGAGTCCAACCAGATATAAGGGAGGAAAAAAAAATAAATCAGTGTGAGGATTATTCAGCACTGAACCAGGCTGCAGATAAACTGTGAGATTCCTGTCCTTGGAGGTTTCCGAGACCCAACTGGAAGAAGCCCTGAGGAACCTCGTCTGAATTCAGCTGATCCCCTTTTGAGGATCTTCCAACTTGCATGAATCTATGACAGCCTGCCGTTTCAGTGTTCACTGAATGTTATCTGCGTGGAGGGTAAACGACAGCCAGCGACAGCGTCACACCAGGGAAAAGAAAAAGTAGTAGCAGAATGTTAGGTATGTTCTTTAGTTCAGTGATGATCTTACTGTGCAGGCACCATGTATGGATGTTTGTATTCGCGTAAGTATTGTGTTTATGTTACACAGATACACTATTGAGGCTTTTATTGTTGCTCTCTCAGTCCTATTTTATTAAAGCAGCATAGGCAGAAAGTGTTGGCACCATGTCTAACCCTGTCCCTAACCACGTGCTGCCTGAACAGACAACAGGTAAGCAGAAACACTGTTGACAGTGTAAGCACAGGAACACAAGGTGCTTCTGCACAGGGAAGGATTGTACCAACTGCTACATTCCATGCCCTAGGCAGAGGCAGCACCTCTGGGGACACTAGAACTCCCAGGCAATAGCAGCTGAGCTGCCCATGGTTTGGGTGGGAACCAGTACTGGATCGCTCAGTAATTTTGGTATTTCTGTAGAGATTTGAGTTAAAAAGAAATAACCCCAAAACCCAACCAATCAACCCTCAGGCAAAAAGCTGTGAAAGTCTTAGTGTTGGCTTTGTCTTAAACGTTTTCTAAAACTTTGCCTGATGGAAGAAACAGTAAAATCAAAGAAATGTTACTGAGCACAGACATACACACTGCAACATAACTGACAAAATCATCGTTAGAGGTTAGAGAATACAGCTAATAGCTAATTTTTAATTGAAATTTAATTGAAAATTAAAAAATTAAAAAAGAAATTTAATTAATTTAATTAATTGAAAATTAATTGACTTCAGTTCCAGATGCATTCCTTATATCCATAATGGTGCTTGGAAACACTCCTGAAGAGCAGCAGTTTAGATCTAGTGAGTCTGTCACTTAAGCCACTGAAGGGAAGGCAGCTCAGGTCTGTGCAGACAAAAGATGTTAGGAGCTGAAGGATGTATGCTCTTTCTTAGACCTCACTTTTCAGGACACCTCTGCATTCATGTCTGGTCATCATCACTGAGGTTCCCAACACAACTATGAAAAAAACCCAGAGGTTTTAACAGCAGGCTAGTCTCTTAGGGAAGTGCTCAGACAATCTGCACAAGAGATGCATTTTCATCTGGCTAGGGCTGCAGATGGAATCTAGCCTTCTTCCAAAACTCAGCTATAGGTTCCATTTCTGGATACGTAAAGGAAGATACATCCCACTTTGCATAATGACAGGGAGTGTGTGTTCAGAGAAGTAGCAAGGGAGCTGGTATGATTGTGGCTTTAACACAAAAAGCAAGCTATCTTAGCCTCAAACTTCTCCCTACAGAAGCAGGCTGTCATAGCTTAAAATTTGTCAGAATCTTGAATATTTCACTTTACTGCCCAAAAAACCTCAACAAGGGAAAAATAGAAAACTATCTTGGAAAACAAGGAAAACTGCAGGTACCTGAACAAACCAGTCTGAATGCAAAGCTTTTAAGTGTTAGTTCTCTTCCATGCAGCAAAACTCCTGGCTGTTCACAGGTAACAGAAAGGAGTTTCAAATGGCTAAGATGATCTTTAAGGTCCTTTCCAACCATAACCATTCTATGAATCTATGAAGATACCTCTGCAAACTGCTGTCTACCTCTAAATGCTGCTTTTCATTTACATGGGTCTATGGCTTAACTCAGCTCAGTCCTAGCTACACACCACACTTAGAAAGCTAGTAGTGGTACTGTTTTCAACATCTGCCTTTCATGCTGTGCTTAAGTCTGTTCTCAGGGAACCAATGGCTTTCCCCTGAAACACCAGCACCTGGAGACAGCTGATTACCATCCTGAAGAGAGGACAAGCAGGTTTTGAAACATGCCAGGCTTCCTGAATGAAAGTTTGCTCACAGCTGATCTCTGAAGAAATAGAAAGGTTTCCACTGAAGTTACCAAGATGTCAGCTTACAAGCTGCCTTTTGTACACCAGTAGTCAAAAAGCTAAGCTGCAGAGTAAGCATGGTATTGCTGAGATGCTTTTGAAGAAAACTGCAGTTAACAGCAAAGTGGGATTAATTTACCAAATAGTGTAATATTCCTTATCCTTCATTCCTCTATGTGTGAAAAGAAAGATGGAGCGTTACTGCTGGGGAGCCCACCGCCTTCTGGTATCTTCAATTAGTTTAAGCTTACTGTAATTTGAGAACTTCTTCAAGTGATTTTTTTTTACATTTAGCTAGAAGAAAAGGACCTATGAGAGAGGTTATTTGATTATGTATCACAATATTGTCTTCATTACGGTCTTCTTGAGTAAAACATTTAAGGGATAATTTAGAACAACTACCACATTTTTCTTCATTAATTCAAGACACCAGCATACACTGCACATCCTTCTCCTTTCCACTTGCATGTGGATAAAATATTTAACTCCTCTCATGCAGGTGAAGGGTCTACAGTTTCTTATTCCACAAGAGACAGTAATCATAATTGCAGAAGGGTTCTGCGTTCCAAAAGATGTTTTTATGAACAGCAGGGAAGGGATGGGAGAATACCCTTCTCACTTAGGTCCCACACTTAGCAATATGCATAAGCCTAAAATAATTATGCTTTTTCAACATTTTGGTATGCAACCAACTGAAAGCACAGGTGATACTACAAGATGGTTCCACGCACTACAAATGGCAACAGTTGTAGCAGTTCAGAGTAAAATGTATTTTTCTCTTAAGTATTTGCTGGTAGTACTGTGAGATGATTCTATATTTGACAAGCCATTTTGCATTACTATTCATACAGATTCTCTTACTCGGCATATCTTCAGCTCTTTTTCCTTTGTATCCTTTGCCATATATGTTCAAGACCCCAAGATCTAATTGACCAGCTTTGAGAAAGGAGTTGGGCTAGGGACACTGAGAAATCCCTAACAAGTAAATTATTCTCATGTGCTACAGTGTGGTAGAATAGTTTCAGAAATGTAAACAAATAAAGCAACTTCATTTCTTTCAGTAATTCTTTTTAAGACAGTGTGCATGCATGGAGTTATTACTGCTTTCATCAGCATCCAGACAGTTGTTTCTAAAGGCAGAGGTATCTAGTACAGCACAGACGCTCTGTGGATCCTTCCATAAATATTGTGCAGGGTGGAATGTGTTTGAAGGTATTTTACCACTTTGCACTGTTCTGGTGTGTCCAAAGTGTTTCCTGATACTTGCTTCAAATTCATGTTTTTTGGAAAAATATTTCCTGTCAGCTGTGCAGACCAACAAACACCAAGTGCCCATTTGTAAGGCTCATCAACAGTTTTCATGTGAATTGTAAAAGGAACCACTTGACATTAAGAATGAGCCAAGCTGTATGAACCACGTTTGATCAAACTGCGCACCAGATCATCCCCAGTTTCTGCACACTCCCCCTTCCCAGAAAAGAATCTGTAAAGTCAGGTGCATCCTTATTCACTTCCATCTCCACCCAGTTGCCCCAGTACATAAGAGAAGGCTAAAAGGGACACTTTGCGCATGTTTCCAAATATTTGCATTATTCTTAATGCTCCAACAAGATAAATATTTACTGTGTTTCACAAAACCTACCTCCTTAAAACATGGCGATGGGTTTCGGATTTGTTCAAGCATTGCCCACTTGACTGTTGCCTGTCGTATATTTCCATCATATTCTCTGGAGCTCTGGGTACCGCTCGGAGTACCTCTGGATCGTTCATAACCTGGTTCATTAAAATATGGTTCTGCTACCAGTATTAGGGATTGGACAGACACTAACACCTGTTGAGAGAAGAAAATAAATAGTAAAACTGTGCTACCCACGTGTTTTTACAAATATTCATAGTTATGCTCACCCTGTGTGCAAAACCACTTCTATGGCAAAGTACTTTCATTTGTAATACAGGCTACGTGCAAGTAGGGACCATCCGTACTTTCAAACTGAAACCATTATATACATAAACATTAAGTCCTATTACAGCATATTTAGCTCAAGTGCTGAGAAAATGACAAATACAGTTTAAAAAATAACACAAATATAAATGTAAGTAAATGCTTAGAGGAACACATCTAATTGCAGCCTTCTGTGAAAGAAAGTGCCTTTGTTGTATCTGTTAAATTCTCAGTCAATAGTTCTTTTCCTGTAGCTGAGCTTACTAATTCTTCTAATGCTGAACTAGATGGAAAGTGTGAAAGTAAACCACTGAAATGAATCTTGGTGTTACATGCTCTCCCATTTCTTCTTTCAAATGCATTCAGTTGTTTTATCTGTGTTTTTAGCCCTTTAGTTTCAGATTTTACATACAACACTGTGTGTCACATGCCACTAAACAAAACCTCAGTATTTCTCTAAAGATAGGTAAAAACATTTTTTCAGTACTGCATCAACTATTCGATGATAAGGAAATGGCAGTTTTATCCATTTCAATTTTATTAGCAAGTACATTTGGGAATAGATGCTTACATACATACAAGCCATTTAACAGTAATATCATAAAACAAAGAAATAAATAGAGACATAGGGTACTGAGGAACCCAAATGTGTAAGTAGTGCATATTAATGCTTTGATGGCTAGCTAATTTTTCCAGGATTAGAATGTTTGTCCCTGTCAGCTTGTTGCTGTATCTAATCAAAATGATGTTACTACAAAAATGTCACAGAGTAGAAAGACACAGCTGAAGGGGTTTGGGGGTTTTGTGTTTTTGGTTTTATAATTTGCTTTTTGTTTGTTTGCCTTTTTTTATTTCTGTTAAGTGAAGGACAGGTTTTTCTTATGTACTTCAGACCAAGTCCAGCAAGAATTTTAGAGACTGCAATTCTGTGACACAAACCTAGTTCCAGAACTGTAAAGCATTTAAAAGAAAACAAATGGTGACTTGAATATTTGGATGTCCTCGAATACTGAAAACCTGATGACAGGTTACACCCCTAAGAATGGTGTTTCCAGCACCAACAAGACATCCACTTCAGCAGATTAAAAATATCAGGGCAGCTGTTTCTGGAACTTACTCTCATCCCAGCTTAGAAACAATTTAAAGTTTGAAGCCGTTTCCTCATATAGCAGTCCAGTTGGTGAATGTGGACATGGGAGACAACAGTCCTTTTTCTTGGAACAGAGAGCTTACATCAGATAGACACTGTGGCAGTAACAATTCAAGACACGGGTTCTTTCAGCCACGTAGCTGTGCACTGTCCTTAAGTGTGCCATTCTCTCAGAGTTTTTCTTGTAGCAAAGCCAGCACAAAAGTGTTCCAGTTTCCCACCCTCTCTGCCACGTGTACTCACTCACACACATGATGCCAAACCGGTATCTTGGATCAAAGCAATAGCCCAAGAATCAGTTGAGTAACCTGGTGTCGTGGTTAATCTCAGTCCCACCATCAACTCACAGAAACACACCCTCATCCCTTTTGGTGCCATGACACTTTCAGTTCGTGCAGTTGCTGTGCTCTAAGTATAAGACAGAAGAGCAGTCTAGGGCAGCCAAGTCTATCCTGATGGATAGGGCACATGGCTGTGCAGTGGGAAACATGGACTGGCGTGCCCCAGTTGGGCTGAGAAGGAAAACTGAACAAGGTTTAATGTTTCTCCAGCAGGTGCTCCAGCTAGCTGTTGTTACATGGTATTGCATGCACCATCACACTGCCTCCCGTGTCTGCCATGTGTTCAACTGCAAGAAGCCATGGCTATTTTTTGTTACACTTAAACTACAGGTAAATGCATTAAAATACACAGAATGTGCCTTGGAAATCAGGTTCCAGCAAGGAAACTGCCACTTACATTAATATTCTGCCTTTTTTAGTGTTGTAAATGTGCTAAGCCAAGGTAGAGTAACTCATGTTCAAGGCTTCAGGTACCAAAGGAGTTCTGGTGATCTGTGGCCTTTACATGTATCTGGAAGTAGCTGGATTTTACTTTTTTACATTTTATATGTCAGATATATATCTAGATATATAGCTATGGTAGAGAAATTTGACATTAATACAGCATTGTACTTTCTCAGCCTTAATAACAAGTTATTACTTTGAACTGTAATTGTAATGAATGAGAAACTAAATTGATCTTCCAGTTTCATCTGGGTTATAAAAGTTAATTTCTGAAGTCTTTTGGGTGGTCTGACAATAGTTTAATCCCTGAGGCAGAAAACACACGTAGCACTTAATTCTTTCCAAGCAATTTATTTAGTCCTGTGGCTGGTTTCCATTTAATAGCTATAGTGGTTTTCCCAGTATGGGGAGGGGGGGGGCTTTCCCAACAACTTTCTTACTACTTTTAAAATGAAACTCTAAAAAACTTTAAAATTTGAAACTTAAATGTTGCACGAGATTTCTTACAATCAAATCTAACATTCTAATCTAAGAACAAGGAATTTAGTGAAAATAAGACTTCCTAATACTTGCATCTTTCTACATTGATTTTACAGTTATAGTCCAAAATTTCAGTTCATCTCTTAAGAAGTTCTGTCTTTGGAGAGTTACACCATGTAAGGACCCACAACTTAGATCTCCAAATCGTAACTGTCCCTTGAAGGGAGAGGGAACATGAATATCTCCAAGGATGGAAATCCCACAGTCTCTCTTAAACACCTATCACAGTGTTTAGTCACATTTCTAGTGAAAGAGTATTTCCTAGTATTTCATCCAAATTGCCCATGTCCCATCTTGTGCCTAGTGGCACTTGTTCAAGTGCTCTGCACAGAATCATAGAATAGGTATGGTTTTGAAAGGACCTTAAGATCACCTAACTGCAACCCCCCTGCCATTGGCAGGGACACCTCACACTAAACCATGTCACCCAAGGCTTTGTCCAACCTGGCCTTGAACACTGCCAGGGATGGAGCATTCACAACTTCCCTGGGCAACCTATTCCAGTGCCTCACCACCCTACCAGGAAAGAATTTCCTCCTTATATCCAAGCTAAACTTCCCCTGTTTAAGTTTGAACCCATTACCCCTTGTCCTATCACTACAGTCCTTAGTGAAGAATCCCTCCCCAGCATCCCTATAGCCCCCCTTCAGATACTGGAAGGCTGCTATGAGGTCTCCACACAGCCTTCTCTTCTCCAGGCTGAAGAGCCCCAACTTTCTCAGCATCTTTAAGAGACGCCTGCCTTTATCCTCTCTGCACCTTCCCCATTTAGGTACTGAAGACAGCCATTGGTCCACAGCACTTATCCACTCACTTATAATACACATCTCACCATCTTGGCTATAAAGGTAGTAAAAGAGACTGCACCAGAGGTCTTGCTGAAGTCAAAAAAGCAAGCTACATTCACTGCTCTTCCTTTGAAAAAAGCCAGTCATGCTGCTGTAGAAGGAAGCAGGTTAAGTGCTGTTTGCTGCAAGAGGATATACACAGCTCTTCTCAGTCACTTCCTTGTCTTTCATGTACTTGAAAATAGCTTCCAAGATGATATGCTCCATAATCTTACCAAGGACCACAGCTCCCCAGATACTCTTTGCCCATCTTGAAGCTGTGTGTGAGGTTTGACAGGTAGGATTTGCCCTCGATTGTTCGGACCTTTCCAAGATAAGTTAGTGGCTTTGCATTGGCTGGCTCTCTCAGCATCCCTGGTGCATGAGACTTGGTTACATGAGTACGTGGGTCTGATCAGCTTGAATACCATTTCCTCTGCAGTGGGTAGATCCTCATTCTCACAGACGTTCCTAGGGAGGGCTCAGGCACATGAGAAGCAAACCTTACCCCTAAAATGAGAGGCAGAGATGAGCTCTGCCTTTTGGATGTCTTGTCAGTAGTTTCCCTGCCCCACTGAGCAGTAGGAAAGCCTAAGGAAGATGTGCTCTTTTGCTGCCAACAAACTTAAAGAAAGGGCAAGCCCTTCTTGTTCCTCTTTATACTCTTTGCCATTTTCAACACCAGCTGACCTTTGGTCTTCCTAATTTCTCTTCTGAATGCTTGGCCAATGTCTCTATTTCTCACAAGTAGCCCATCCACTCCTTCCACTTCCTGTGTGCTTTCCTTTGGCAGGAGTTCCTTGTTTACCGATGCTGGCCTTCTGCCACTCTTGCTTGACTTCTGCACCTTGGAGCAGACTATTCTTGAACTTCTAGGATACTGATCAACCAGCTGTCCAAGGCCATTTCCTGAACAGGCTGAAACCTGTTACGCTGAAGCCCAGGGCTGTAATTCTACTATGCAGAAACAGAAACTGTGCAGTCTTTTAGGATTTGGAACAGACAATGTATCTTGTGCTATGTAATAATTACTCCAAGGAAGGAATAAATCCATAAAGTGCCATAGGAAAGAAGCCACTGCAAGCTTTACCTACATTTAATGTTTGTGCTTACAGTCAGTGCATCCCTATGACATAAAGCTGAAAATGGGAAGGATCACATGTCCTAATAAATTCCGGTCTAATTTAACAGTAGTTGTTACTGAACACAGTATACCTACACTTCAACTCTCCTCAGCTTTATTCCTCCTATTCCTCCATTCAGCTCGCTTGTAGACTTCAGAGGAGTACATTTACAGTTTACACTAGGATACCTCACTTTCTCATCTCTCACAACATGGAGCCTACTTTGTCCTCACCATAAAAAGCTTGTGACAGAGAGTTCAAGGATGTGATGCCATCTGCCAGTCTGGTTTGTTGTGGGTTGTTTTTTGTTTTGTTTTTTTTTTTAACTCTTATTTTAATTAGAATACTTGAAGTCATCCAAGGAGAGTCCAGGCAGTGCCTTCCTTATGCTTACTTGAGGAAGAAAATTCTGGTTTAAAAGCAATACAAAAAGAACCCTTAGGACCAATGGACCCCTTGCTACTCCTACATAACATCTACTGAAGAGAAAGAAGAAATGCTCACCTGCAAAAAACTTGATGTTTGGGGATTCCACTTCTCTTCTGGCCTCCCATGCCATGTGTTAAGTATACTTAAACACACCTAAAAAGGTGACATCATTAATACCACCGATAAAATATTACGATAAAATTATTCTGCTTGGGCAGAACAGACCGTTACCATTATGTTTAAATTTTGGGGTTTTTTTTTATAAGTATTTGTAAAAGTGCATGCTAAAAGACAAATTGTTTCTTATGAAACTAATTTGACACGAAAGCAGATAAAAATAATGTGGATAAGCAAGAACTGCGTGTTAATAAATAAGCAAGGCAGGGTAGATTACTTTTCTTCATGGAAAGCATGTGGGTTTTAGTGGCTCCAAAAACAAATGAATCATCAGTACTATCCGACTGTTCGCTTTCCTCTTTAAATACTGCTCTAACTGTGCTTTCTAAAGACAATCCTTCTGTGCAGCGTGTGAAAGGTGGTTTCTGTCACACAGACTATCAAGAAATTGAAAATATTTCTCAACTTTATGAGTGATCTGGACCTTAGGGAAGTCTGTGGAGTTCTTGAGCCTTATCACAAATTGCAACAATCAGAGACAGGGACCACAAAAAGACAAACTACAGAAGTTTGGAGGCAAGTATTTGCCAAGACTCAATGCTTAATGCTAGGCACAGAAAAAAATGAGATAAAGTCTTCAATATAAATTACATTCTGTGTCCATGTTAGGAGAAAACCCTGTGCCCAGTACTGGAAAGGGGTTTGTGAAACAGGGACCATGGGGAACCCAGGAATGACAGCAGAATAAGGGAAAAATGCTAGCCTGTGGATTAAATGTTTATACGCAGAAAAGGCTGATGAAGTGCCAGAGTGCTGCAGCCAAAGCTATTTTGTGGGTCTATGCTTCAGTGAAGACACACATGGAGCCATCTCTACTGTTCTGTAGACAATTTCATGTGTGCTGACTTTCAATATAAATAGAAGCTGCATCTCCCTGATATGCACTCGACTTCTTGTTAGCTGTTTGAAGCCTTTACTATGAGCCACAACATACCAAGGAGATGGAGAAAAGGAGGAAAGCTTGTTTGTTTTAACTCTTAATGTTCTTTCCAAAAGCTTTACTATTTTTCTAAGAAAACTATCATTAAGTCCCTATTTCAGAGTTTTATTTTCTTTTTTAAAAGATACTGAGCTTAAGGAAAGGCTTTACCTTCCCTCAAGAAAAATCACTTTTGTGTGGAAAAAGAGACAAGGCACTTGGCAAACACATTCAGCTACAGCTGCTATGAAGCATACGTTGACCGTGGAAAGGTTATTTCAGCTAGCCAAACAGACTTCCAGTTAATTTAGCAAAGAAGGTGGAAAAGAACATTTTTTCTAGGTCAAAATTACTTGCTTTTTGGTTCAATCCAGCTCATAAAGGCTCTAAAAATTTCCCAAGACAATTCAGGAAAGGAGATCATTCCTGTCTGAAGTTGTTAAATCACTCCGTATTTCAATCTAAAGCCTAGCTTTTTATCCAAACAGCTTCCTCCAGTGTGCTAGGAGCAGATGATATTTTTACTGCAAAAGGAAGAAAATTTCCCTTCCCTGTTAGATCTCTATACAAGAACAAAGTTGACCTACCTTGCCATCATTGTAGAGGTTTGGATTAAATCTCACGCTGTGGCCTCCAGTTGTTTCCAGATTCACAAGTGGAGGAGAATTAGGATAGTCTTGTGGAAAATATACATCAAATTCAAAGCAACCATTTGCGTAAGGGGTGTCTGCAGGACCAGTAATAAGAACCTACCATTGTAAAAAAAGACAACAGCTTTTTTAAGACCCTTTATGTATTCGTCTCACAGTTGAGATTTTTAAGTTATATGAAACATGCTACTCATTAGAAAATACCATTAGATATCATAATCATACACAGGCTGTCTGTTCATTTTGATATTCTGGCTAAGTGAAGCCCGCTGCAAACCAGGAGGAGCTAAAAACCTACCCTCTACTGCATGCTATTAATAGAATCTTAAGTCAAACCTCAGGTCCAGAGATATTCAGTGTATTTCTCCACACCTACTGCTTTAATTGACATAAATGCTTGTATGCAAAGACACACTTAGACCATAACGGAGTAACAAAATTAAACTCTTCCCTTAAGAACAACAGAAGAAAAATGAACCTTGTTGTGATGTCTCACTGGCTACCAGGGCACTCCTGGACAGAGGGACTCTTGCTGTCCCTGCCAGATTCTTGAGAAATCAGGGTCAGATTCTAAATCTTACTATTTATGTTAAAGTTTGGACAGCAAATAAAGTACACATGAAAGACTTCTGATTTTCCTTAAGATGTAAGGCACCTTCTTAAACATTTATATGCCAAGCTTAAAGAGGGAAATAAAAATAACGTTACTTCTTTACCTTCATTATGTCAAGCCGCTCTTCATCACAGCGTACAAAAACGCTGGATGAAGATGAGAGAGGCAGTGAGGTTGAAAGAGTCACAGCTTCTTGAGCAAGACGTCGGGCTCTGGCAGCACTGTTGGCGTCACTCGCGTTTTTTACCTGAGACATGTAGTGGTAATTTATTTTGAAGACCAATTTTCCGTCATCATCTTCAGAAACCATTTCAAATGTATCTAGAAGAGAAGAAAATATTAATGCCTCGGGGAAGCAGTGAAGTTAATAAGGGATTAGTCTTGGATAAAGATTCTGAGTATTAGAAAAGTTTAATTTGCATTATACTACTGCAAAAAGAAAACCCAACCCTGTATTTTGTGAGTTAACAGTGATAGCAAATAAAGCATTAACAGTCTTGGGTCAAATTAATTTCTGCAGAAAATTTATGAGCTTTCATATGCAACTTATCAAATGTACACCATTTCTGACTTGGAAAGCTACCAACGATGCCAGACCAGGAATGTAATGACACTTATGAATACATAACCATGCTAATAAAGGAATCGGTGTGAAGCAGCATGCCTGCGGTATTTACTTCTGTGGTGGTTGCAATGTTATTAAAGAATCATAAATATTGGAGTGAAGCTGGTTTTCTTTAATCACTTATTACACAAAATCTGCAGCACGGGCGCCAGGGTGAAAAGCTGCCGTTGCAAACTTCCCTACCCCCTGCTCTTGGGATACACTCCACAAGCATTTGTGAGGAAAATCCCATGCAAATACAACAGCAAAACAAAAAATGACTGCAAATCCTATTCCTCTGCAACTCAAAAAATACTCATAGAACATGTTTTTGCAGTAATTTTATAGCTCTTTTACGATGAGATACTATTTGCTTTATGAATTCTTCCTGATCATTTTTCCTTTATGGCTAAATTAAGCACTGAATCCCATCATACTTTCCAAATGCACCATATTGCACTCCATGAAAGGACTCAATGAAGGTTACTACAATTTCATTTTAGAGAACACATTATGATCTGAATTCTATTCCACTTAAAAAAATAAAAGCTACAGTAACAAACATATAGATTTATACACAGGCAGACAGGAGCTTTAAAAAGCACTACTAATTTGAGGAGCGAAGGACTCACAAATCATTACTGCAATGAAAACATGAACACCATCACTGAATTCATCTGGTCCCTTGAATTTATCTAGTGTGTGCTTAAAACATTTATTAGCTCAAAGAGTGCGTTAGTTGGTAACCTGAAAGCACAGACCTATATAATTTCCCACATGTATAAAGTGTCAGTGGTCACATATGTAAAAAAGTTGGTAACTTTTAAAAATAATTAGGCGCTCCATCCAACAGATTACTTATTTCTTCAGCATCTGCTTTGTAAAACACAAATATCCCACTTCTCAACCTACCAAATTGGAGTTTTTTCATGACAGCCACATACTTTTCTTCAAGAGACCGTAAAACAGACAAAGGCTTGGGTTTCACAGCAGCCTTTTTGCAGTATTCAGCCATCTTCTTTTCTGTTATATAAAAATGTGATGATTATTTGTAGTTAACCATGTTATTCTGAGACAAGTACAGAAAGCATGTGGGGAGTATTTAACTTGAAATGACTTTTTATGGCTACATTGTTTGCACGCAAGTCTCAAATCCGGGCATCACTTACAAGACACAAAACCTGGTTTTCTCAAGACGCTGTATTTCATTACCTGAACAGCTCCAAGTAAATTAAGGTAATAATTTCAGTTCAGAAATAATTCATGACTGCTGCTGCTATGAACAGTCTTGTATTGTTTCCTCTATTTTTATTGTATTTAAAATTCAAAGCGTGACATATGCTTGTGTGGATGGACATTCACACAGGTATTCCTAATGCTCTGGCAAAATCAGGAGCTGATTACACACGCCTTTTTAAAATCCACTCCCCTGATTATGCTTACTTACTCTTCAGTTTTCTTTGCTAGACAACCAGATGGTCCTTCGACCATCTGCAGGTTCAACCCACGACTTAGATTTTTGTTCTGTGTTCATCTAGTTAAGAGTTAATCTAATTCGTAAGATGTAGTTTTAACAGCAAAGGATTTACTATTGAAGGTCATGTAGGTTGTCTTCTGCCACGAAAAAAGCCTGTTAAGTCATGAGATGTACTCTAACTTACTGGCATTATTCTGTTTCATAATAAAAACATTTAGGACTACTACAAGGTTCCAGCCACCTTTGAAAATGTAGCTGGGGGCAGGAGGGAAGTATTTTCTTGGTTTACAGCTAATTGTAAGTTATCTGTTACTGAGCATATTACAAACAACACTATACAGTATTGAGAAAAGTATTTCTATTTTACCTTGGTTTGCTTGGCGCAAACTGGTGGTAGCAGCATAAACTATCTCTGCTGTTTTCTGGATGTCTGGTACCAAAAGTGTCAACCCCTCTGGCTCTTGATCAGAAGTATCTGGTTTTACTCCTGCTTTAGCTTTGTCTTTTTTAGACCTGTTTTGAACAAAGAAATGGGTTGTAGCATGAAAGAAAGCTTTTTTAACCACTCATTAGTACTCAGCACGTTTGCCAACAGGGAAAAATACCAAAGCTTAAAGAACCAAGTTTAAAACAAGTCTCCTGAAATGGAATGTCTCTGTGGACCTCCAGGTTAACCACTGAATGTAGCAATCAGCTATGACAATACTAACAGTTTTGGTTTGACAAACAAAAGTATGTCTGGCATGAAGAGTAAAACTATGAACATGAAGGCAGTGAGACTAGTTTCTGCTTCAGCCATTTAGTGCTGTTGATTGTTACACTGAACACCGACCATACGTTTGAACATTTTCAGTAAGTGTTGGAAAAGCTTACAAAATCAATGTACCAGTGATCATGTCATGATTGTGCCTTTCATCCACCCATGCACATCCTTGTGCAAAATTAAGTCTTAAATAGCTAATGAAGTACTCTTTCCTACCACACAATACACCAATTACTTAAAATGCACTAATGGCAAATCACTAAGAAACCTCTCATAAAAATTCATGGCATATGTGACCTACAACCCAAGCATCATGAGAGAGTGGGGCCAACATGAAGTTTGTCTCTCTCTGCAGTTCTCTCCTGCACTATAGAAGTTAAGACATTTAATTTCGATAATCAGTTTAATGTAATATAATTTTGAAAGTCTTGAAGTATAGAAGGCAGCTATATTAAACGTTTACAATGAACATACTGGAAATCAAAATGGCAATTTAAACATCTTAAATTTTTATCATGAAATAATTTGAAAATACAGCATCTACTAACACCAGTCTTTGACAGAAGGTAGTTGCCTTGTAATTTAAGATACATGTAAATATTTAGAGTGTGACAACCCAGTCTTTACTATCCTATATATTCAACTGTTGAAACTAAGACACGGTATTGATAACACTGTGACCTATATGTGATGTTTAAAAGCTTCTATGTTTTAAGAGCTATCGTGTTTACACTGGTATTCCTGGAAAACTTAGGAGATTTTAGTGCTAATAGCCCCCAGATGACTGCAATTTCTGTATTTCTTTTTATTTTAACAGTACTTGTTCATTTTAAGACCCAAGCAAGTTCAACAGCCAAGCAACACTGGTGCTTACAGTATTATACTACCATGCTTAGTAGCAAACCAGAAAGCTAGCTACACAAGATAAAACAGTAATTTAATGCTTTAATGTCCCAAACATATTTCAGCAACTACCACATACTATGTCCTTTCTGTATTTTAATCTAGACTGAAATCATGCATAAAGAATGAGCCTCTAAACTATTCAGTAGAAGTGATTACAGTAACACTGAAAGCCTTTGCACGGTACCTAATCATACAAGAATATCCCTAGAGTGCATTAATAAAGGAATCCATTACTGCAGCATGGTACATTTTTCCTGTTCCAGGCTAAGCCAAAAGGATGTCAGCCTGCTGTTAACTTGAAGCAGTACTGAGCTTTCAGATGCTTAAAGTCAGGAGGAAAGCCTCAGAGCCAAACAAGGTTGTTCAGCATTTGAGGAACCATTTAAGACAAAGCAGCAGCAGCTGCCTCTCCCATTCATACTTTCAAAAATCCTACCACTGCCTTTTCCCTTGTGAAAAATCCAGGCCACTATTTTTTAAATAACCTATTAACCAGGTTCAGAAATGCATATTTAAGCCCACTAAACCTCAATGATAATCTGTCACAACGATCACAGACATGGTAGCAGCCACCAGTCCCAAGAACAGCGCACAAATTTAGAACAGCTTGCTGTTGATGTAGAATCCTTAAGCTATTTGCTACAAACCCCTTAGAGACTTTTTGGCTAAAATCAAATGTCAGTGGACTTATCCAAGAGAAAGATGTGTGAAAAGCAATAACAATGCGACTGGTGAAGATACTGAAAGTGAAATTAATTCTTACAAATTTGTTTTCCAGACAGTTATCTCGTAGTGTTTCATCTTCCACGTGGTTTTACAATTTAGACTACTAGGGTTTTTTCTTTCTACTTGGTCTTAGAATCAAAAAAATTAAAGTTTGGCCTCATTAGACAAAATGCTTAATCACATGCTTAAAACCTCCTACACTGAGTTACTGACAGCCGACTACCTAAACAGACAAGGAACATACCTAGCTGAAACCGTAGAAGGAGACATCTACTCAAATGCAAACTCTCAGTACCAACAGAATTCTCTCTCCCTCTCCTTGCTGTCCAGGACCTAGTTAACATTTCAACGCTTCTGAAATATCAGAAGAGAACGTGTTTTCTTAATGTCTCCTTTACCACAATACGATCATTCTGCCCACTGCTACCATGAGCAACACAGACAACATGGCCCTCTCCTCAGAGTAACTTTTAAAATCAAGTGTTGGCAGAACCGCTCTACCCTCTCACCTGCAGTTATCTGGAGCTTGCGTGATGGTCTACATTACCAAGCCACCTAACTTCTGAGTCAGGCCAGAACTGCGTAAAAGCAGTCGAGGAATTGAAGTGCAAGATTCTGCCTTGGACACAAAAAACCTCCAGCCAAGGTCTCGTATTTGACCTTGATTCTACCTGATCAGGGATTTCAGCCAGTTTCTCGGGGAGTACAAGCTAGCCCCACAAACCCTCCAAATCAGACATACTGCCTTATCGACACCTAGTTTCCTCACACTAGTCAGGCTTGTCTATTCTAATGGTCAGGGGAAAGAGATTTTTTTTTTTACCCCCTCTTTTGGGGAAACCCCCAACTGGTATTTACAGAACTTGCAAGACTTCTGTTAATGATGACCTCCATTTTTTTTTCTTCCCTCATTGTCTTTCAACCTTTATTTGACTGAAATTTTTTGCTGTAAGGATACCAATTTAATACAATTAATCCTGCGCGCTTCATAAGATGCTGCCTGCTACATTTCTTAGTCTCTACATATTTAGTGTTATACACACATATTTGGAGATATTTAACAGTACTTCACAGCTTCTCAGTTTATTTACAATCACCATATGGGTAAATGAATTAATTCCCTAGACTCTAGATAGGGAAATATGTCAAAGGCTCCCCAGTGCTATGTACCTTCACACTGATTACAAGTTTTAAAGTTCACACAGTTTTGTCATCACTTGCCACCTGAGACAGAACTGAATTCCACCTCAGACATGAACTACTGCACTTGATTTTATATGTCTTTTACAAGACCGCAGCAGCCTTTTCTAACATCATATCCTTCAAACATGGTTGGCCATAATTATTAACTAAAAGCAGTTTAAAAAAGAAAAAATAAATTAGGTACACGGTAAAATTAAAATCTTATGTGAACCAGCTCTGGGACTGAAGGTAGAGTTGTGAAGCTGGCCCGTATTCCCATCTCCCTGAGGTAACAACATGCCCTGGTCTGGTAAATCTGAAAGTCTATATAGTTTTCTTAACCATATAGTTATAAAAGGGTGAGACAGATGTAATTCAAAGCCCTGTAAAAGGTTAAATGGGTTTTACATATAACTGACCAACTGGTGTATCTTAGAACACATGAAGTAAACCAAGGTGAAAGTCACTTCTGGCCTCTGTAAGCCCACAGTGTCCCTGCAGCCGGCTGTATGAATCCCAGCTAATAAATACTAATGGGCTTTGGTAGATCCAATCTTGAAGGTGGGAAGCCGGAATTTCAGGGGAATATAAATGTTACTCTCAGGACAAAATTACAGCATTACTGAAGATGGCTTTTTTTGGGTCATAAACCCATCTCTTAGTGTAATCTGAAACACATGGCGTTAATTTGTGTGCACGCAAGAAGAGCAGCCTGGTGACCACTCGACCATTTGTGAGCATGACAGGCAGACCAAATTATTAGTTGAGGATATGTTCTCCTTTCTTGGTGTCATCTCACTTTGATACTGCTACTGCATTCCCGCCTGGATTCAGAGCTGCAGTGAGCTCTATCCAAGGTGTGTGTTAAGACACACAGATGTTTCAGAGGGATAAGTGGAGTCCCAGCTGGAGAGAGGGAGTTGTTGGGAATTACAGGGCTCTGCTAAAAACATGTGAACAAGGAGATGAAATACCAAAATCAAAGTGATAAAGCCAGTAAGATCCTTCAGCTCCTTCCTTGCACTCTAGCAACGTGTATACAGATTTCTGCATGCAGATAACCTAACGGTGTTACCAAACTCCTGAGCTCTGACAGTATGTTTTTCAATGGTATTAGAAAGAAACGTGAGAACCTCACGAATACTATTCACGAATACATAATAATACAGTCAAATGAGTACACAAAACTACATGTCAAATACATACTACATGTCAAAATACTACATGTCAAATACACACTACATGTATTATGATATATGTGCTACCACATAATACTACAGTCAAATACATAACGATATGAATATTTTGCTGTAAATGTTCTCTATTTTTGGGAAACACTTAAAGGTCTGCATTATGCTGGACATTTCTTTCTGCAAAGATTCTGCCTGTGGAGCAAAAAGTAATGCAGTTATTTAGTACAGACCAAGCCTTTATCTGAACATTACAAAGTGAAGGAGGAGCCAAATATTTAATTTAGACTTAAGACACTTCTGCAGTTTTTCAACCATTGAAGAAAAAGAAGACAAAATCATGTCACCTCGTATTTAAAGGGATGACAGTCACCAATGTATTTGCTAGAAGAGACAGCAGCACACATGCTAATAATTTAAGCCATTAATTTAGCTTGTGCTAGGAGATGACAGCCTTCTCTTCACACTGTGCCAAATGAATAATGAATGATACACTCCCAGGGCAACTTTAATTTTTAAAACCAATACTAATACTTACTCATCCATGCCTGGTACTTTGAGGTAAATGTGACGATATGGAATGATATCTTTACCAATGTATTCACCAAATAAAGGGAATGAACCATCCAGCCCCTGTGTACTAGTGAGACAGTGCTTATTGCAGACTTCTGCTCAGTTTTGACATTCACTGGCTTGGGATAAATCTGCCATGGGTTCACAGCAGGGGTATCATCACCCTGCCCTCATGGTTTTCCACAGGTGCCAAATAGAAGCTTGTTCCTTCCAGTAATTCACAGATTCTTAAACTAGCTTCCTGAAATCAGGCCAAACGAGCAAGGGACCATGCCTCTGCAGATAAACACTGGTGAAAGCTCGTGACCTCCTCTAAGCTAGCTCCACAGCCTCTTCCTTGGGACTTCCAGAACTGCTTTTACAGACACTACGCTGAAGCATTCCAAACCAGTAAAGGCTGCAGGACAGATCCTCACAGCCAACCGTCAGCTCTGAACAGAGGTTTGAGAGTGCAGTGAAAGAAATGGGCAGTTGTTTTGTCTTCTGAAGAAAAAACAAAGCAAATTAGGCCTCAATTCTTGGTACCAAATGATAAAGAAAAATTTCTGGTTGCAAAATGTACCATTTCACGTAGTAGTTCTGCAAAAAAACCCAGAGAAGACAGTGAAAAGCTGTAGCAGGGAAAATGCCTTGGGCCTACCTGGTTGTATTCCAGCAACCTCACGTTACAGAAAAAAACATCCAGGTCATAACAACAATTTGATATTCAGACAATCTTGGAACTGTGCAGGATTAACCCTCAGTAGCAGCGTGACAAGTGATAGAAGTGTGCAGATGACTGAATTCAGATCTCCCTCAAGCAGCTATCTTGGGGGTGGCCAAAGTGATGTGGAAGGATAAAGCGCAGCTGGGGATTTTAGACCTGGGCTTGCTAGACTCCACATGGTAAAATAAGCCAGCAGTTTATTTTGCCAAATTCAACAATTTGCCATGAAGCTCCCCTGGCAGGTGGCGGCTCACATGTGCCTGCTTTGCTACATGGCATAGAGCTCTGCCATCACAGCAATCAAGTATCTCAAACTCGGCCCCAGTGGCGACCATTACACAAGCACGATCACACTCAAACTAGTGATGGCTTTTAACTCCGTAGCAGTCATGAGAAATCACCTTCTACCTAAATGTCTTCTCCATTATCCAGAAACTTCCAAATTTCCTAACAGAATATTATGACCTTTGAAAGTGAATAAAATTAAAGGGACAGTCCAAAACTGTTCCTCTTAAAGTCTGAAACCAAGTAGACACTTGCTCCAACCTGGAGGTGACATTTGGTAGACATGCAAGTAGAATTGCTCTTCAGACAAAGGGAAGTCTTGTCTTTGAAAGCAGATCCCATAATTATGTTGTTGTTCTGGCATTTGACCTAGAAGGGGCAGCAGATTGTCCCTTTTAAGGAACTTATGCCAACACTTGCTTATATTGCTGGCACACCTCCAATTATAATACTGAGAATTAAAACTTTGCACCCCAATGATTCCCGGCTGCTCACCCTGTTGGTGTTTTCATCCTTGCTCAGACACTGCTTTAGAGGCAAACAATATTATGCTTAATCCAACCAATGAAAGACAAGATATATCAAAGTCATACAAGAAGACTCAGCAGATAACGTAACTGAAACAACCATGGAATTTTTATCAAATTCATCAATTATTAAAATAATACCAACTGTGCTTCTAGAATTCTTCTTGGTTTTCAGACCCGAAGCTGACACCGAAGAACTACTCACAGCATGTTTTATTTTACCAAATTAAAAAGATCTTGCAAGTGGTAGTAATGTGCCATTCTCACAAAGAAACTTTTTAGACTTCAGCCTGGGGAGGAGTGACGTGAGCAGATAGAGGTTTCCTTGCTCATTAAATCCAAGGCTCACGCGTGACCAGATTAACAAAAAAAGAGTAAGTATGGTAGAGAATTTTATACATACATCTATACTGGAAAGGGATTACACAGAAGCCACATATATTTTATTTTCTATTTTAAGAAGATTGTGTACACAATGATCTGCATAATACTGCCAGGAAGCACACGCTGACATTTTTAGGTGGGTATCCAACATAAAGAACCATTATTTGTCCTTTCTGTTTCTTTTACATTCAGCCAGCAAAAAAAAACCCACTGCAGGTACATTACATGCTTGATATGCAAGATTAGCAATCTCAGTCAAGAAGTTTTAAAGAAATTCATGGTTAAAGACCAGAATTCTCATCAGGAGATGCTAGGAAGAGTTCCCAACAATGGGGTTCCTGCTCTGAAAAATCTCTCGAGTACTGGTTGGTAAATATTCTGAGTTTAGAGTGGAGGAAGAAATTCTACAGACACCTTTTCCTGACATTATATTGACCTTCTTTTCATGACATATCCACGTATGCTGAGGGACAGCACTACATTTTGCAGGGAAGGACACGTATTATTTCCAAACAAGCCACCTTCAAATTGGAAGCACTAAACAGAATCAAAAAACCAATTAATTGCTGGAAGCAGAAAATTACCGAAAAGCAAGAGATGGAAATTTGTATTGCAGCATCTGCAGTTAGCAGTGAAGCGGCAGAAGCACACAAACCTCCCCCAGCTTCTTTGTGTCGTACAAAAAATTCTTTGCAAATAGTAAAATAAAACTGAATCCAAGCACAAATCTGGATCAAACGATGGTATGTTCTCACTCCAGACTGCAGCACCCATTCAGATAAAATACACAGAACCAAATCTTCTTTTACTTATAGATTCATAATATGTAAGTATAAAATACAGCTTCAATGAAGGTCAGGAATGATGAAAGTGATTACCTCAGTCTGTTGGTATAGGTATCTACACAGGTCTTCATTTTAGCCAGCAAAGTCCCAACAGAAGCTTGTGACTCCAACTGTTCCTCCTCCTCTTCACTACTTTCCCCTGACAGAGGCAGCAGTAATGGTACCATCGATGTGCAGGAGGCAATAGCACGGAGTAATTCTAGCAGAGCTCGGTAAAGGGGAACATGTCGGGCCATATCCAAAACTAAGAGAAAAACAGTTTACAAAAATTAATCAAATTGAAGACTCTTAGTACAGATGTTTTAAATAGAATAGTTATATTCTAATTGTTATTAAAATATTAATTACATTAAATGATAAAAATACAGTATTTTGTCATAGGCATTTGTAATTTACGTTTTAATGGACTTAGCCAGAAAGAACTGGATAAGGTACCTGGAAAACAAAGGTTAGCAGGAGATATAAGAAGACAAAAGTGCTAACAAGGTATGGAACAGGACCACCATACACTATATTCATTTCTAGCAGCCTAGTAGACAATCCTGGCTCGACTTGTACGTCAACAGTAATTGCAAACAAGTATCTACGGAGGAAAAATTGTACCTTACAGTGTAGCAGGGTAGCATTTGCTGATTCTAACAGCGTAAGCATTCATAAAGACAGACTTTCATATCACCCACTTTATAGTTATCTTTTCCTTTGGGAAAAGTTGCCTGCATTACTGCAGAATATTTATGGTCATGAAGTAAATGAAGTTGCCTACTAAGAAGCTTAGCTTTGTTCCTTTTCATGGAGAAAGTATCATTTTAAAAAACATCACGCTTTCCTCAGAGCATGCACAGGCTCCGAAAATGATCCGATTTTATCTGCATACATATGAACCACCACGCAGCAAACATGAATAAGAACATATATTAAGTGGGCAGCCTTAGTGCTGCTCAGTGTGATGTATATGTACCACAGAAGGAACCGTGGTTAGAATGTGGACATCAGATCCTCGGAGGAGAAGACAGGCAGAGACAGACAATTCTAGTGGATTCTCCAGCACCACATTGTTTAGTTTTCTTTTCCACTTGCTTGGAGAAATACATAATGGATGTCATTCCAACTGCCTTTCTATCATTAATAGAAATCCTGGAAATGTAGCAGTATGCACATACTTTAACACAGCTGCTTCCTCTGTCCCTAGGACATGCTATTTTTAACCTAACTGCAGAAAAAAAATTGCTCTAGTTCAAAGTATTTACAAGTGACTGAGTTTATGATAAAATAAATCTGTTATTTTCCAGAAAAAAAAACAAAAAAAACCCCTCAACAAAAAGCCCCGACAACTTGCATTAGGGCAGAACAAACCATAGGAGAACCCTTTAATATTTCATTGAGCACTCATCCTCCAAGCTAAAAGCAGATCACAAACTTTCATCTTCTGTCACCAAACCCTTAGCTCTAAATACAGCACAATGGGACAGTATAATTAGCCACGCAAAATTCAACAAGCCAGTTTATCCAAGTTTAAATATAGATTTCTCTCTCTCTACAAAGAGTTCTTTGATCAACAGCTTGCTATTTGTATTTTGAAACTGTTACAATGGCACAAAGTCTTCACTGGGTGAAGTTCTGATGTGGTGAATAGGAAGAAAATTTACTGGAACAAAGTACTAATGCGTCAGGCTTGGTATCAGGGCTCTAAAAATATCCTGTGTCAAAATATCTCATGTATTTAAAGCAAACTCCACTGAATTTGAACACTGGCATTAAGAAAATCAGTTTCAATAACTGATCCGTTTGTTTTATGTATTTTTATATATTTTTATATATACCCATTCCTCATGCTCAGTCCCCAGGACTGCCTACAGAAAAATCCCCACAATGTGTAAAATCACCTTAAACATGAATAGATCTGATGATGCTGAAATTAAGCAAGAAATGAAACAAAGAAAAGGAGAAAGAGGGGGAGAGGGCATAGCAGGGCAAAAGAAAGGGAGAAGTGGACATCCTAAAACCACATACAGCTCTCATCAGAAACCTCCTCCCGCCTGCAGTGCTAACAATGAAGTAGCTCCTCAATGTAATCAATTGCTGTTTATTACGGAGGCAGTGAGTGAAGGAGAGATACAACCTCTTAGATAACCACACCATTTCACTTCTGGAAAGCGTTTATTTATTTATTTTAACCATGAAATTTTCATGAGACCAGAATACGTAACTGGAAATCCTGCAATGCTTGCCTGCCCTCTCCCTTGCTAAATGGGATAGTTAAATTCAAAATTACTGTCATGAGGGAAACTGAACTGATGTAACTTTAAAATGGGAATGTTTTCCAGACAGATAGCAGAGATTTCTGGGTTTAGCAAATTCAACTCACTTGCACCGCTTTGCAATTGTTCCCATGGGAAACATATGAAATGCATTCATTTGCTTTCAATTTAAACATGGGAACAGCTACCAATTTCTTTTACCTTAACATTAGACTCTCCTAAACTCAATTTCTTGGTACCACTATGCGGCTTATGCTATTTTTGTCCAAGGCCTGTATTATGCTTAGTAAAGATTATGACCCATGCAAGTCTGTCCAAAATGCCAGAATTCCCCCCCACCCCCAATCTAAATCCTAGACCATGTTTACCAAGACTGGGTGTCTGGGTAAGTATCAGAAAAATTTGCTGTAAAGAACACAAAACTGGCAAATTACAGTTTATTACCTTTATTTGGCAGTTCACCTACTTGTGTCTACTTGCTTTCAAATGAAAGGGAATGCCAAAATGACTAGTAAAGTATGCATCTGCAGACACAGCTTTGCTTTCTGAAATAGGTTAATAAGACTTGAGCAGTTTTTAAATCCATTTACATGTACTTGGATGTTCCAAACTGGACAGCAATCAATTTTTAAGACACTATGTTTATGCCACTAGGACTGAGACACTCTGTAAAATACTCCCCTGGCCCAGGTCCACTGTTTGCCAACTTGCCTATTTCCTCCTGGTGTCACCAGCTGCACCTGCAGCCATTCAAACAACACCTTCCTGGAGTCCGGAAGTGTTCAGACTAGAACTTCAGTGTTTGGGCTGTATCACTCAGGTGCCACCATCATCTTTACCACTTTTAGTGTTTGCAGCCTATTCAGATAGTTGGGATTTAGGATATCCCTTTAGATATCATATATAATGGGAGTATTTCAGAAAACTTTGTGTGAAAACCAAAACAATTTATATCCTGTAACAAAGTCTTTTAAAGGAACTGACTTAAAATACTAAAAATATGAATAAAAATGCAGAATACAAATCTGCAAATGAACAAATCCTATTTCCATTAAATAAGCAATGCACCCTTTGGACTATCATCCGCACATAAAGGTACCTTACCAACTAAGATGCCAGCAATTTGGATTTTAAGCAAATACAAACTTCAATGAAAAACAAGTGTTAAATGCAATCCACTGCTTTCTTCCAAGTGTGTCACTCCTTGGGAACACACCCAGCTTCCTTCTGCCTGAGTGAATTGGGCAATGTGGGTGTAGCGCAACACTTTACTTGAATCAAATAAGGTAGCTTCTTGTGTAGGAAAGAAAATCCAACACATCACAAAATAGCAACAGATACTTTTGTTTACAGCAGAGCTAGAACTTGAATAGCATTAGCACATCTCAAATATGTGAGAATTCTTATTCTTTTTTATATGGGTACTTCAGTTGTTAAGAAGGCACTAACATTATTTGATTTCTATGGGCATGCACATAAGCACACCAAACTGCAAACACACAGCATTCCTAAGAAAATGAAAACAGGAGATTAAATTCTTGGCTTCATAAAAATGACAGAAGGATATATTACCTAGGATTCTCTGTTATTCCAAGTGAAAAACATTATTAAACAATGACAAATTCCTTCTCCAAACAGCTCAGTTTGGTACTCTCAAGACTCCCACACCATGTGTGCCTGGACTGTCCTGCTCACACAGATGGGGGTCTTTCACATCTGCCCGTTTTTGTGCTGTTGGTGCTCCCATGTACCATGGACCAGTTCAGAAGCTGCCCCTTGTTGACTCCCAAACACAACTGCTGCCCAGAGAGCTTATCTCGGCTTCTCCTAGGTGTCCTGAGCATTTGCCATTTACTACTACCAAAAGAGAGGTAAAGATTATTTTATTACTAGACTCAGAGCAGGGATCTCCACTCAGTTTTTATCCTGCTTCCTTGTCTGCTCTAAACAGGGTCGGCAGGGCAGGGCTGCTTGGTGACAACAGTATTGTTTTGAATGAAGTTCTAAAAGCAGTGCCTGGGACCTTTGGCACAGCCTGACCCACTCGACTTCCTACGTGCTTTTCAACTTACATTCAGCAAATACACATCAAGGTTTCACCTTCTGGCTATACCAGTAGTTAACCAGTTCAAACAGCGGAGCATGAAGCAGAGCACAAGGGAAAAACTGCTGTGGAACCTGGAGTGTGAGCAGTCAGAGATCTGTATAATGGTCCCTTGCTGGTGGCCAAGAGACAGCTGTGACAACCCAGGGTGAGGGATCGGGGATGGGAGGCAAAAGAGAGCAGCAGGGCAACATCACCACGGGGTGGGTAGCAAGACATGACAGCAGTGCTCTGGAAGTGCTTGGAACCCCAGTGCTACCACAGAGAGCTGATTTAAAGGCTACCAGCAGCAGCATCTTTACTGCCACCATTGTTTTATTAATTGCAGGAATTAAGAGCTCTAAGATGAACAGACATATCAAAAAAACAGGCCAATGTCTTACTGTCCTTGCTAATTAGCAGGGAAATTCATTGCGGCCTCTCTAGACATTAGGCAGCAGGCATACACACCTATAATTCACATAAAGAAAGTATCACAGGTCTAAATTTGTTGCATTTATGAAATTCAGAAATCTCAGCAATGTCACTGCCATTTTTCTAAGATAAGCAGAGATGGCAAACAGCTGGAAAACATTTCATGGTTTAGTGGGATAAGGTATTATCCCTCCCTCCCATTCCTTTGGGTACTAAAGGTCAAGTTTTACTGGCATCACTACAATTCAGCTAACCTCTTGCCACAATATTTGCAATTTAGAAAGACACTGGATGCTAAATAGGTAAAATACAGATATTTAATATAACCAGATCTCCCTTATATGCTAATAACAAGCAGTTTGATCTGGGCAGTGGAGGGAAGAGGAGCCTGAGTGAAGCTATTGAGAAGGCTTGACTTTCAGAAACTGCCAAGCATCCTGTCTTTTGAAAACTGCAGTCTTTCACACA